CCATTTATCGCGCGATAATTTCCATTTATCGCGCGATAATTTCCATTTATCGCGCGATAATTTCCATTTATCGCACTATAAAAAAAATGTGTCATGTCCCCTACGGGCCACCGTAGCTTCAGGAACTTAGGTCTTTGTTTTAAATATACGAAACATTTCGTGGTTAAATGTATCATAATTAAATGTATCATGGTAATTTATCAGGGTATTTTATCATGGTCATTTATCATGGTACTGACAAGTACAACATTTGTGAAATCGCTTGCCAGTCTAAGTTGTCAAAGTTTTCCGTTGCCGGGATCCTACGGGAGATATGCACCGCGCTTGAACTAGACGTTTCTTCAATAACCAGCAAGCGGAAGCAGCCCTGTATAGATATTTTGTGGGAATTGGCAGAAAATTGTGGTCGTAAAAGTATGGACTAAATATCTAATGTAAACCTTAAACTCCTTGCCTGCGAAAAGACCCGCGCCCTGTCTGCAAATCTAACGGATTACTAACTTACCTTGCTGATCCGGCTATAGCTAAACAGGGAAGTGTTTTTTAGGCCGTTTATAGGAAGAAGTCATTTACTTCTTAAATTTAATTAACTTGGAAGGACAGATTATATTAAACACAACATGGGTTTGTTTACTCACTTTTTGCTATCAAAATGTAGATAATAGCTTTTACGCAGTGGGCGTGAAAATTCTGTTCTGATCAGGCAACAGGCCTATGATGTGTCTTTACGCATCATCTACACTTGATAATATATCGCCATGTAATTCATTGGTGGCTTTGAACCCGACCGTATTTGAGGGGGATAAATGAGTTCTTACTTGGCTAGCTTCTTCGACAAGAGAACCAAATAACTTACTAGTTGGGTTGATTCTTTCAAAGCCATTGTTTCAAAGATACAATATCAGTACAATGAACGCTCGGTGAACATGTATTTTACTTTAAGTCCTTAGGCATACCGACCCGCACTCGAGTCTGCTCAGTGTATCAGCTGGTACAGTGATTACTCTAGGCTTTTCTTGAGTTTCGAGATACGCAGAATGAATGGTTTTAGTACCAGACGTGAGCTTTTGGACCGCTGCCAGTAATAGATGAATGTGAATATGAGAACGCACTACTTGGGTCGTAGTCTTACTAGCGGCACGAGTAACTTAACAAGGCATGGTAGGCTCACGGAAAGAAGTAGTGTAAATATAAATCTGTTGAACGTTGGCTAATACAAAATTTTCAGTAAAGGTTGTGGTTTTCCAGTTTTAACTCTAATACAGCTCCTTTGAAATAAACAAGTATTCCAACTCTGCATTTTTCTCTAACTGCACATCTGAAGTGATGGACTATGCCATTTGCAGATCCTTCGCTCATTTTGACCTAATATGAGCTTTATCCACCTAAAACAATGATTTAAAAAATACCATGATAATTTTAATCATGATATATTTTTAAAACCACGAACGAGGTTAGATGATTGTTTACTCCTGTTTCGTTCATTTAAAACAAGACTTAAGTTCCTGAAGCCACGTGTTTCACAGTACAATGTTCTATTTTTGCGAAGTTGTCGATTTCAGTAGATCTCATTTTGAATTAATTTGCGTTGTTCCTCCTACGAGAAGCACCTTTCTGAGCTAGCAAAATTCCGCTTACATTTTGTTCGTGGTTCGCTTAAAGACTAAAATTTAAGCAAAGATCTCTTACGTGAGGCAATTACAACCTCTTTTTCAACGAAATGGGAATACAGAGAAACGTCAAATCAAAAACCCCGAGATACGCTTCGTGAACAATCTTATTTGGAGGCGTTGACTATCCTTCCAAGTAATATCGCTATTGTGAGGGAGATGCAACAATTTCAGGACTGCAATCCTCAGAAACATGGAAGGTAAGAGCATGACTATGTTAAATAAGCAGTAGATTGGACGTAAAATGCGAAAAAATGGAGTTTGCGTGAGTATATGTACACCGTCGAATCGGCGCATTTTATCCAAATTTAAGTGTCACTGCGACGAAATTTTTGCTTTTTATTTTCCCAATTTTCTGGTGTTAACTTCACATTTAGACCCTAAACTATAAGAATAAGCGTAATTTTCTCGAATTTGACAACGTTATTCCTTAAAAACAGCGCCGCGAAGACATTAAAAATTCTTCCGCTATTGCTCGAATAACACACTGCACAGGAGAGCCCGCGAAAATAACTACAGCGGTTTTAGTTGTGACGTCATCGACTCACTTCGACAACGTCGCGAAGGCATGCCTTTACAAGAAATACGCAAAAGAAAGCTTGGAAACAATTCTTTCGAATTTTGTTCCTTCTTTCCTGCGGAACCAGAAAAACAACTCTCTCTCGGCATACCAGATTAGCCCCGTTTGTTGAGTCGTTGACGTCACTTCCGTTCTCGACCCAGTTTCTTCTTCTTCGCGCGGAGTTCTGTTGTTCGAAGAATGGCGGCCGTTTAGATCGCGAATCTACAGGGAAAATAATATTACTTCTCGATGGAGTTTTGCCTTAAGATTTGGCAAATTTGTTACTTAGGGTAAGTACTTCCAACTTCTGAGGAGAAAAGAAAAGGTGCATTTTTGGTCGCAGTAGCATTTTAAAATTTGATCAATCGCCCCAAATCATTTCCCAAAAAATCCTTTGGAGATCCAAAGAACTACCTTCCGCCTTCCGAAACCCAGATTTCCAGTTAATGGTTTTAATTTGTATGGCACACAGTTAAATCACCGGCTACTTTTGACCTATTTTTAATCTAGTTGCAATTAGGTCGGATAAATTCAATTAGATTGTGTAAATAAATGGTCAAAAATTGCTCAAATTGCAATCAACATATGTTCCGATGTTGTTTTTCAAGATTTGGTACTTTTTATCAGTCCAGATTCTTTCATTTTGTGACGCGACGCTCCGAGAAATCTTGAGCCTGAAAAGCCATATTTTGGCCATATTTTGGCGGAACTCAATTTTATCGAAAATAAATGGATATTCAGCCAAACGAAGTATGCAGTGGTTTATTTCTCATTGAGACCTACTCCACTTTGAAATATGGGCGAAATTGATTTTTCAGCTGTTGCCACCAAATGTTTGACCATTGATGACATTCGCTCTTAAATGTTTTGGTGATGGAATGGAAAGCATGGTCTAATATACCTCACGCAGGGAAAATTATTTTTGCAACAAGAGAAAATAAACAACTGGAAATAAAGACTCCAGCAATCGTATCCTTCTATTTCTCAACAACTCTTCAAAACCTTTCACGACCCGGCGAAGTGGTTAACTTATTGACAATAAAGTAAATTACTTATATCACCGGGGATTTCGCATTAAAATCTTATTCACGAGATAAGTATTTATCAAAGAGCTCCAATTTGTTCATATTAAACCTCAAAGTATGATGAAAACATATCTGTTGGTATCCATAAGTATTTATTTCCTATGCTACGAAGGTAAAATTCTCACAAGATTGGTTAATCAATTGCAAGAGGTGTGCAGAAATCCAAGACTGATGAAAATAAGGAATTTCAAGGTCTCACAAGATGTTGTGATTAGACAATGTGACCACAAAGTTCTCATTCACTCTTCTTCTCTTGTTTCGATACGATACTATTCGATTTTCTTATATGATTGCTTTATACATACTTCAAATTATAAACTATTTCAAGTTTTATTCCAAAATTGCATGATACTTGGAAGCCTGAGCGAATTAAAGGAGGCGATTCCTCTCTTGGAAGCACAAGAAATTGAAAGGAAAGTAGAGAGTAAATTCGTTCTCCACAAATCCAAAATGTTGCCTATATAGTTAATCATACACCACCAAGGTTCGAGTTAGTGACTGCATATACAACGGTAATAAAAAGAAAATTAATTAGCTTCTTATTTATTAAAGAACTGATTACAAAATTGTTTCCTTAAACAGATCGTTGGGGTACTTTAAACAATTGACCAGTTTTCTCTCCCAGTGATCTTTTTCAACATTCTTTTGATAGTCTATATAGCTTCTTTTTCGCAGCTCCTTTGGAAGTTTTCCTCTGTCAACGTCATCAAGTTTGATGACGACTAAACTATCATCTCTCCTTTCCATAAGTCGATGAAGGGCGTAATCCATTTCAGAACCGCAATAATTGCTATTGAAAAAGTTAATCGACACGACAGCTATTGTTTTTCTCGACTTGTAAACACTGTTGACCATATTTTCACGGAAAGGTACCCCAAGAACGAAATCTCTGTAGTGTACACAGCATTTAAAATGGTGTTTTTCCTCAAGAATTGGAATCAGAGTTTTAGTCACCCAATCCGAGTCCTGGGAGCTGAAAATAATGAACGCATCGTATTCAAATTCATCTTCTGAAAGAAAAAAAGTAAAGATATGTTTTTAGCTATAAGGGTTGATATCAAAATTTCCTTAGAGTCAATATTGACTCCAATCCCATTGAAAACAATGAAATAAGGACTGGCAAGGCTAAAATTCATAATGGCAGAAAAGGACTAGCTTTCGGGTTTGTGTGTAAGGCCTAAACAATCTAAGACGTACTCAAAAAAACTGCCGAACTTTAGATTCAAGGTAGACTTACTTGAAACTGGATTATGAACGGATTTCTTGGTTAGGGACTGACGGCACCAACAGATAACAA